TGCTCAAGCTGTTGGCAATCCGTGGGTGCTGCTCGGTATGCTCATTGGATGATTTCCTTGTTTTGGAAAAAGGTCTCAAATTTCAGTGATCATGCGCGGATGTGGGGAAGTTAATTGCACTTCATGGAAGCTATGAAGGAGATGGGAGAACATGCTGCCACATTCCGGCATTGCGACTGGAAGGCCCTGGGAAGCAGGAGTTTTTGCATTATATTTCTCGGCGGCAAGATGCGGAGAATGTTCTTCTCTACTGCTATCACGCATGGGGCCGCTAGAAGGGGGGACCATGGATGTGGAAGAAGGATAGGACGGAAACAACCGCGTCAGGATCTAGATATACCCCATCCACCATTACCTTTAGTGAAATAAAAAGACTAGGTTGCGAACCATCTACACCGGTTTCCATTCCATAATGTATTTGATTGCGCCTAAAAAGAAAACCGCAAAGATTCCCCGCAATGTGCACTTGCACGTTTTGCCATCCTTGGGCATGATCAAGACAAGGTTAAATCAGCCCAGGGGGCAAGAATACCACAGGAGCAATAAGTATATATTAATACTACTAAAAACAAGCCAGTCCGCAGTAAGCACTAACCATTTCCCACATGGCTGCAAGAAACTACAACTGCCTGGTTAGGCCCATTCGTAGTCTCTAGCAGTCTCTAAAAGCAAGCGCAAAGGGGTTGCATATGTAATGCCCCTTTCCCGGTTCTTGCCAATCAGCAATCCAGCGGCTTTATAGGTCCCGCCCCGATTCTCGAAGACACAGCCTCCAGAGTCACCAACCCGAGAAAAGATGTCGTTTCTCACCCCCACGATTGCGATTTCGAATGTGGGCGAGCCTCGGTCCCAGGTGACTAGTGCCGCAGGGTTGACCGTTCCAAATGTCGTCCCCGTAGTCCTCCCAACCTTTTCGACCACAGCACCAGGGTATAAATCACCCACGTCAGAAACAGTATCATGGTAGATATTGCCGCCATATCTACACCATTTACAGTAAATTAGTAATGTATCCGACAGATCAAGATGTGATATCAGGACCAGGCGTACCGCTCATGATTGCAAGTGAAAATGCAGTAATCAATCTTAGTCAGCCAGGAGACGCTGGCCGAAAATCTCGGAAGTTCTCTCCGTCTGAGTTCCTGATCGTACCTATGTAAGAGGTCACTGTGGACCCCGAAATGGCAGTAGACAACCGACCCCAGCCTTGCACCATTGAAGATACCAGTAGCGTTCGCAGGCGGCAAGGCCGGCCTACAGATAGCCTGCAGATGTATAGTCCGGCCCGGCCAGGTCAAAGTGAAACTGACCTGGGCTTTGTAGGCCAGACTTTGGTGAAGCCTATGGGCTACATGGATGCCTGGGGGCAGCGGTAGGCATTTGGCATATGCCATCCGACCAGTAAATATTGCGTCTGTGCACCACTGATATCTGAAGATGCTTGCAGATGTTAGAAGATGCCCGCAGATATCTAAAAGCCTGCAGAGTTCTACGGTCCGGCCCGGCCGGTCACCCAAGAAGCCCAGGCCGGCTGCCCTGGACCTCAAGCCTGGCCGGACTGGCCGCTTGCGAACACTGGATACCAGTGTTGAACTGAGTCGTGTTGGTGGGGTTGAGAAAGGTTGGGCTAGTGATAGAGTCATGGAATCTAAACTCCTCTATTATCGCTCGCGCTTCGCGATCCCTCGGAGCTATGATACGCAAGCGGTCGGCGGTGGTACTAAGGCTCGTATAACTCAACAAGCGCTGGAACCTGGGTGTAACTTCCACTCCTGATGGGGAGCAGATTGGATCCCCTACTTGGCCCCCTGGCACACAGTGTGCTGCGGTTATACCGAAAACCCTTCCAGGCACTGACCTTCGCTTCAGGAATCCTCCGAAGCTCCCGGCTGCTGGCAGACTACCTGTTACCTAGTTAGATATTTTATCCAAGTTGGAGAAGGCTTACTAACATTCGAGACCCACAGAGCACGGTTGGAGATCTAGTCGTCGTAGGTTCTTAACTGGATCTGCTGACCATTTAGTGTCATAGCCATTCACCGCAAGCATGCAATCATCTTGTACCAGCAACCCTAGGTTATTTGGTGGCTGTGGAAGGTCTGACCCGACCAGGTTCAATCCCGGAATTCCAAATATAACGGTAGGATTAACCATCCCTCCACGGTTTTCGACTGCGGCCAAGATGCCATAGGCATCTTGAACACCAAATTGTTGTAAGACCTGCGTAATATAATCCGTGATCTCGGTGTCAAGCTTGTAGGTTTCCGGAAGCGGCATTATCACGGGTCCTGCCATTCCACCGTCCATTCAGGCCCTTGGGAATTTCGGTTGATCGCCGGGTTGATATATATGTGATCCCTAAGATCGCACTGGCCCCTGTCGTAACCATCCTGAATTAGTGTATGCCTGTCTTAAATTTTCTCGAGATTTAGGAATGCGGGTATCTTATGCATCATGCACATACCACAAGATCTTTGTGACCTTGGACATGGTATATCGGTTCATCACGACGGGGTAGGAGAGGGGGAGGAGTAGGGTCTAGTTTGTAAGAATAGTGACCGCCAACAAATATGAGTTTTCAACACAAGGAGAACTGCCTGAAATCTACCTACAATGATGGGGGAAGAAGCAGAGGAGGTCGTGTTAAAAGTGGGGCAAAGTGGGGTGGAGATGTGGAATGCAGGGAAAAGCTGGGTATGGAGCAAAGATAGACGTTTAATACTAAAAGGAATTCGGAAACCAGCAGTTTCTGTGCGTCTTGGCATTAGTTACTGTCCCTAACCAAAACCGAAGGTAATGCACACTGATCATGCACATCACAAATGCGGAGCCGTGCAAAGGCTTTCCTGACTATTTACACTACTATGCTTCAAACTGATATCCACTGCCCAAGGCTGTTCAGGATTGGTGGTCACCACTATGCAGATCTACCATTCCCTTAACTGCACTTGCGATCACCTTGTAGTAACTTTTCAATATATATACTGGATGCTTGCCATGAAGGTTCATTCTATTGCCGCAGGATCAGTAGGAGAGAAGCCAATGGTTTCCACCCACAACGTGGTATAGAACCAACTACTCACAGAAACCGGGATACACAACACCTTGTCATTTACCCTTGCGCCAGCACCAGACGTTTTACGGAAAAACCTAACCTAGGATTGTGGGGTAACCGTTGTTGGTATGACACCCGGGCTGGATTCCCGCTTTCCTCTTAGTCGGCGTAGGTGCAGACTTTCACAATTCACGGAGAAGGGAGAAGCTTCTTCTTTACTCTCTGAATCCCACTCGATAACTCAAGAAAAGATAGACTTTCAAAAAGAAAAAAATAGGTGCTGAACTATCTACCAGGGACGATGCTGACACCCTCCCGAACCTATCTCCCACCAAGACCTGCCTGCCGTGGCGGAATTCATTCCCTGCAGAAAGTATCAAAAGATAGCCTTCCCGGTATCATACCTCCCGTTCCCAGACACTCACCGCCGCTTCCGCCACCACAAGGCGACATTTCTCTCAGTGTGGTGTTGGAATCCCGACCTCCGCCGGCACCCCAGATTTCCACAAACCAGGTACGGGCCTCTACTCCAGCCTCCAAACTCTAAACCTCCCACCCCCACAGGACGTCTTCGACACAAGCTTCATCTCCGCCAAGCTACAAACTTTCTACACCCTTGCGAAATCTCCGTACCCTGGCCAATTCACCCAGCAGTCGTGCACGCTTTCGTGTCACTAATGTCAAAGAGCCACTCGCTGCCCAAGTGCTTCACCCAGAACATAGGTACGCTTGAACACGCAGTAGGAGTTCTGGTGGAGAGGCCTGCCACAGCCTACCGAAGCCCATGGCTTGTTCACAGGGCAATTGTGCATTGATTGTCACGCTGCATACTCACACTGCCCATGGTCACCGGATTGAACCTGGTTCCTGTCGTTTCGGTAAGGCGGTGGGTTGATCGGCGTAGCCTTAGACAAGCTCGGCGGTGCTTTGTCAATAGATGCACAGAATACAGGGGTGACACATGAAGAAGCACATTACCGGGAGAAGTGTTCCACAGTCCGAGGCTTGCGCCGGCTTGGTGCAGCTAGATATTGTATTCTTTGGGGAGAGTTTGCAGAGGGAGTTTCTTGCGGGACTTAGAATTGTCTCGGAGGAGGCGGACTTGGTAGTTGTTATGTGGAGTTCGATGAGAGTCCATCCGCCCGCGCTGTTTCCCAGATGGCCAAAGGAGCTGCTAAGGTTATTATTACTAACGAGCGAGTAGGGAGGAGTGGTGGGCGGACAATGTGCTTTTGCTGAGCGGGAGCAATGAGGAGGTGGGAACAGTGATCCCAAGCGCCCAGTCCGCCCGGCTTTGAGTACGGCCGGACTGGCCCAGGCTTTTTCAGGGCCGGCCGGGCCGGACTGTGGGAAAGCGGCTTTTCCAAACCAAAGCCGGACCCGGCCTGGGTCACCCGCAGGCCGATGTTTCCAGGGCTCACGTGTGTTTCACTACCAAGAAATATTTCATTATTCAACAGGACTAACTGTTTCATGCGGACAATAGACATTCACCCGGGGTGGCCAGAGAGTTGTGTGGAGAATAGTATAGTGTCTTGAGGTAGGACAGCATATCCGGGTACAGCGGGGGTTCATCGCTGGATGTCATCCATTTACCTTAAGCGAGATCTATGGTCAGGTGCATGTTGCACCTGATATCTTGTTCCGAGTGATTAAAAGTGGAAAGCCTGCAGGCCGTCCATAGATATCTTCAGATTACCTGGGCATCTGGCGGCTCTCGCTTAGATTGCGCCAAGACTCGACCCGGCGGTTGCCTGGGCGCCGCCGGGCTTTGGCGGCCGCAGAGAATTTCGACCGGACTGGCCCAGGCTTTTCAAAACCAAGGCCGGACTGACCGGACTGCCGATCTGTAGTCCGGACTGTGGTCCGGACTGGCCGCTTGGGATCACTGGGTGGGAAAGCTGGCGAAGGAGCAGGGGTTGATGGGGAAGTTGGAAGCAGTTTGCGGGTCGATCGGAGGCAGGAGCGATGTGAAGGCTGACGCGGAGGTTGAGAGCAGCAAAGATGGTAGGGTTAATTCACCCCACTGAGGGCGAAGGGGGATCATTCACACCTGAACCGGGATCGGCATGCAGATTAGGAGCTCGCAGATTTTGGATTGTACCGGTCACAGTGCAGAACTCAAGGACTTCCTGAGGATTGGTTCAAGGGAGACGTCGCACGATTGTGGATAGTCGAGGCACCTCCTGGGGTTTCTGTAAACAGACCATTTCTGGCGATAGTCGTTGGAACAATTTCTTCTTGGGATTCGCTGATAGTCTAGCCCTGGAAGCCTTCTTGGTGTTGATGAAACAGGACCTATGCAGGTGTCAGGAGCAATGTACCCAACCACCACACATCATCCCTCTAGCAGAATACAGGTACCGTACTTGTGCCACCCCTTTATGCCAAGAATGATCTCCTAAGTACGCACCTGGCGGTGACTTTGTGGTGGGTTGGGGAGTCATTGAGAACCCGATAATTTCGGGAGACGAGGATATCTTTGTTATGCGGACTAATGGTGGGGGAGAATGCAGCAATCGGGGATTAGAGCACCATTGAGTGACAGATAGGCCATGCTTTTCAAGAGGTCGGAGAGGTTCAGTACTGTCAAATACCTCATACCTGAAAGCAGAGCTAAAGAGATGTACTGGACTTCTGCAGTACAGGTAGTGTGCTCGAGTACAGTACGGTACAGTATCGGGGGTTCAGGGTAAGTGAGGCGAAGCGGTTCTCATTGGTTCCACCAACCGAAAACCATTTTGCTTACAGGACCACTTCTCGGAATGCTACTGTTTATATGTCCCCCTTCCCGCCTGTGTTTTGGGTTCACCAGGCAGCAGGGGATAATAGCGAATCACAAGTCTGCCTCGACTCTTGTAAGTTATCTGCACATCAACTATTATTGTCAATTTACTAACATAATATTGTGACGAAGGCAACCAATGGTACTACTGCCGTGGCAAATCAGCCGGAGGCCAACGAGACCAAGCCTGCAGAGCCCAAAGCCGAGAAGACGATTGCCGATGGGATCCTGACTCTTAAAGAGTGAATTTCGGATGTCCCAAAGGTAAGAATGTTGTATTAAGCTCGAACTGTGCTAACAGCTCGTCCAAAAGGACTTGAGCTCCCTTGGGAAGAAGGTTGACAATGGGTTCCATCGTCAAGACAATTGGAATAGGTCCTTGTTGGACATGTTTGTGTCAGTTGTATGTTTTGTTTGCAAAAAAATGACCTAATTGTGTTTTACTGACGCATCTGCTAGGTTGTGCTGAAGTACACCTACACTGACGAGAGACCAGAAGAAAGGATGCAAGGAGATGTTAAGTCAGAGATTGCAGCCCGAGAGGCAAGGATCAAGTTGGATGGTGTAGCTCTGGAATCGGAGATGCTTGTAGGGCTTGTGTTAATGGAAAAGCGATTGGCAAAGGAGGTGATCACCCACCAGGGTGAGACTGAAGCTAAGAAATGATAATTTGCTTGCCATTTGTTTTTATTTTCAATACAGGGACGGATGGGTGAGCAAAAAATACAAAAAAGCAAAGATTCACTATGAATAGCTCAATATCTTCCTATTTCGCACGGCTCATGCGAGTAGATCTCTGGTGGTGTGAAAGTGACAGAGATGCCGCTCCTCACCAGCAATCACTCATTATCAAGTCCGCACTTGAGGTCGTTTTAGTAACTAGATAGTGGTCAAAATACACCAAAAGTGACGGTTTTCGAGCTATAATTACACAACTACCATGGGTAGAAACAACATAGAAACATATTCAAAAGATAATCTGCTACAATGGCATACATATAAAAAAGTGTGGGATTTTTTCCTTCCATTCTCCCAGAGTTGCGAAGCATGGAATGTCTATTCCCATAGGGTACCTGGCAAGACACAGGTTTTTGTATAAGAAAGGTCTATTGCAACCAACCTTACCCAGTTCAAATATCTAGAGTTCTCCACAAACAGCAGAAAAAAAAGAACACAAAATAGATAAATATTATGCTTCAGACATGTCAAATATTTTTAATACTTTTTGAAAGCTGGGTTTCAAGATATTTGTAGAGTTATCGTGGCCTGAAAGCCGGCATTTTTGGTCTGTTTTAGCCTGTGTTTAGTTACGAAGCAGCCTCAAGTGTCAGTATTTTAGCAGCCTACCTACTGTACCATAAGAACTGGAATAATTGAACCTGATACCTAACAGTCTGATTAAGGTAAGTCTTGCCAAGGTAGTACAAGATCAGTTATGCAATATTGGTTTCAAACTCAGCTAATCTTCTCCATAGAAAACATCTAAATTATCTTGTACTTCAACTAACTCCACACCATCCTCCGTCTCCGCTACACCTCCGGCGATTGAAAACTCCACACCATGGTTACTATCGTGGCTTTCATCGTCTAGCACCACCACCCTCCCCCCCATCTCCTCCCATCTAGCCTCGGCTACAGGAGGTGGTCTCGCTTCCCCACTCCCTTGAGGCCTTTATTTATTTATTGGCTCTCTTGGTTCTATCCTGGGTTGAGGTCTTTCGTCTTCGTAATGTTTCTCCTCTTCCTACCCTGCCTCGCTTAGGCCTTGGCACAGTTGGCAACCCCCTTTTCCACCTTCAACAGATGGCCGGGACTACAGTTGCAGTAGGAGAAAACAGCTTATAGGCTACGGTCGATCTCTCTATTCTCTTGTTCCCGTAACAGGCTACCTAGTTGGACACGAACGTGATTACCGATAGTTGTTGTTCACGGATTTGGGTCTACCCTTCCCCTCCCCTTGTCTATGGTCGGATCGGAGGGCACCCTACTGCCACCTCCTCTCAAGCTGGCAGCTCACTGCTACAATGGTCGATTGTCCCGGAGGGCACACGGTCGCTGGCACACCTGCCACACACCTCCTCTCCTCACTTCTCGGTCGCCACCTTCGGGGTCCTTTCCCTTATACACTTCGCGTCTGGGGCTTTGGCTCCCTCCTCCTGGCCCTCGTCATATGGCCTAGGGGTTCCTATATTGGATTTGTGTTGTGATCGTAGGCCCTTAGGGGTTCGGTTCAGGTTTCTTCCTTTAGGTGTTTCATTCTTGGAGTTTTGGCGGGTTCTTAGTTCACTGTCGGCTAGTTAGCTTTCTTTTGTCGCTAGGCAGTGGGGGTTATTGGGTGGAGCAGTTTACGGGAAGGATTACAGGCGGGAGTAGTTTTTTCTACCCCAGAGGGTTCTTTTAGCTCTGTCGTTCGGCCTGGTCTGGGGGGGGGCCATTTTTTAGGCGTCATAGCTAGCACTCTATATGCCTTTTTGTCCCATAAACAAAAATTTAAATGAGTCAAACAAAAATTAAATATCCACTAACTTCACACTAGCAGAATCCTCCTTGCTGTCACAGTCATCAGGATTGGGATAGTGCTGTTGCTGTATGGAGTTTCCTTTGTATCAGATGGTTGGATGTCTTATAGTGTCGGGTGATTGACTTGTATAATAGAAACTAAGGGAAGAGGAGGAATACATTGCAGCTGCGCATGACTAGTGGAGGGTTACTGGTCATTGGATTTCCTTTGTCTATATAATTGGATATGCTTCTTATGAGTTTATTTTTTTTATACAATTTAGTATTTACCTTGGAACATCCTTTTTTATATACCAGGGAAATACCTTATATACTACCATACCATTTTATAATACTTTTCTTTGGCCTGACCGGAATTAAAGTTTGTCTTCCTTATTTTAATCATGGCTTCTATCCCTCCTCTCATGCTACTCCCATCTACACTACCTCATAGGGCCTCACAGTATTCCCAATCACCTATAATTTAGCTTCAGGGTTCCTGCTCGCTTAAATGACTATACAGTAACACCATATCAACTCTATGAGTATGGCAACATTTCGAAGGTGAAAGTAAAGGCATATGTGCATTCTTCGTAAATATGTTTGCTACCATGGCTGAGTAGACACAGGTTGATTAACCATTTACCTTCACAAAGTCCTTTCCTATTTATTATACTGTACATGATGTAGATATTGCATGAAGACTACAGGAAGGCAACTGAGAGGCTTACCGAGCACATCACTATCCTTACTATAGAACTGGATGTCCTTCATACTTCCATCATATCTCAGCCTACTTCTACCACTGCCCCACTAGCCCCTCTTACCTCCTCTACTACAGAGTAGCCCTCTATTCTTCCTGTGCCAACCATCCTTCGCAATACTCAATCTCAAGCTTCTTGTCGCAAACTGTGACTAAGCAAGGCAGATGTCACATAGCTAGGAATTCCGAGCTATAGGTATATTGGGATTTCATGTGACGCACACCAGTGTGCCATAGGTTATCATGTTTACCTGTTCGTGACTCACAGTTGTGAGTCCCACGAGGTTATGATTTTAACACATGACTCATAGTTATGAGTCATGGGTTTCACAGAGGTAACGCGAGTTGCACACCTGACTTAGTTATTATGTTTTGATTGGTTTTAGGCATGTTGCGCAGCAACAAATAGGAGTCGCCTGATGCATTTCGCATGACTCATAGTTAGGGGTCACAGGGTTCGCATAATGCAAGGTATGAGTCATGCCAGGTGAAGAGCTACTATATAAAGGGTTACTAGGACCCCGACTATTAGCTCTTCACATATTCTTCTCATTTATTTCCTACCTTTAAGTTTTTACAATAAGATCTACCTTTACGCTATTTAAGATTTGTCTTAAGAAACTCAAGAATTGTGTTTCCTCCTACGACAAGGAAGAGTAAGTCCTAATCGAGGACTTAACAAGATTAAGGAATAGGCTCGATAAGATAGAAGTCAAGAGACTTAACTATTAGCATTGCCTAGGCAATGGCCTAAGAACTATGACCTTATCAACTGAGAGTAACGACCCTACATTATAGAGCTATAGCAACCTATGTCTAGTACACCGATACATGAGACCATGAGGTCGGATGGTAGACTTGGGGAGCATGCCGGAGCATGTCCAAGTGATATCTGATGGTCGGGATACACTAAAGAACAGAAGATACTTATGAGATAGGTGTACCTAAGTAGCCAGAGTAATGTGACTATGTCTGTTCCAACCTAAGAATAGGTAGAAAGGGCGGATGAGTTGCTCCTGTCTAGGAGAGTCACGTTACCCTACCATGGAGACCAGTTTCATATCACCATGGACATACTTACCCTACCTTTTGGACACTATTACCTTAGCTTCCGTCGAAAATGTTCACAGAAGAATTCTGGGAAATATTAGGATTGTTTGTTACCGAATAACAATCAATAGGAACTTGCTTGCATACTAATAGAAAGACTCCGGGAGGAGCTATAGTGCTCCGAAAAAGTTGTATCTTGGCAGAATTATTCCTAACATATTATAGCTAGTTATGGGTCACCCCCTAGTAATGGGTCAATTTCAGACTATATGTAAAAACATCAAAAATCTCAACTTCCAATCCAATTTTTCCTTCTAGGACCTAAGATTCCTTATAATAGAAGCTATAGACCTAGTCCTTGTACCTAGAAAATATAATGCAAAAATATATAAAGACAAACCTCTAATATCATAAAATTACTATTTATCACTCAAGTAAAAATGCTTGTTGTTGGAACTTGTAGTTGGGAAAATCCCAAGGATCAATAGCCAGATGTTAGGCTATAGGTCTCAGGTTGATGTAGGAAAAATATTAGATCAAGGCAGCAAGAACTCAATGCAGGCTATTCTGTTCTATCTTACCTATTTTTGTCAAAGGTTTCTCCCCCACCACAGCACACCTACAACTTGTAAACTTTCAACAACAAGCTTTCCAAATCCGATTTTTGATGGCTCCCAAGAAGGCTGAGAGGGAGAGCATAATTTTAGATGCTTTGCAGTACAGAATCAATCATCCAGAGCTCTTAATATGCAAAATCGCCATACTGTTTAGCCTTTCCAACACAACCTTGCAAAACTGCCTTCGACACAAGACCATACCAGCTCCAGCAGCTCATGAGCAACAGCAACTACTTACCAAGGTTGAAGAGAGTGTTATTATTGACAGGATTAAAGACTGTGATGATAGAGGGATACCTCTCTGCCGGAGACATGTTTTGAATATGGTATATCAGTTACAGAAAATGAAAGGAAAAACAGAAGAAATTAGAAAGCATTGGGTCAATCGTTTTATTACCAGACATCCAGAGATTCAATCTAAGGTGGGAAAGACCTTGGATAAGCAATGATCCCGCGCTACCGATTTCAAAATCTTCAATGAACAACTTAATCGCTACTACAATATGCATTGCAAATGTAATATCAAGCTGGAAAACACTTGGAATATGGATGAGAAGGGATTTGCAAAGGAGTTGGGTGGTGGTGGAACGATCTTATACCGTACTGGAAGAAAGAATCCACGGATTATGCAGGATGGGAAGCAGTTTTGGGTTACCATAGTTGAAGCAATCTCAGGAAATGGGAAGTCAATTGCGCCTCTTATCATTCATGTCTTGAATGCCCACTTGATGGGTGACTATAGTAATATCAACTAT